TGTTGCAGCCTAGAAAACACAAACTTAACTAACAAGTTAAAAGTACATGAGTCAAAAATTAAAAAGCAATAATATTCTGAGTAGAGGTTCTAATAGTGGCACAAATCAAGTTAGAGAGGGAAGGTGGTTCTTACACTAAAAGGCCTATAGACTAAGTGTGTGTACAGTTTTTAAATCCTGCAGTGATCTGTAGTAGGAAGCCATTGAAAATGGTGTTTCTGGTGGCTTAGTGTGTAGGGACTGCTGCTACTTCACAAAAGGCAGAGTCCCTCTGTCGGTTCGGTTCCCCTAGCTACTCTGAGGGAGAAAGACGGGCAGTCTCCTTCCATGTGATTTTCAATCTAAAAAAAAAAAAAAGACAAACAAACCACTGATAGAGGTGTCTGCTATGTGTGGATACTGATTAGATGGGTGAGAGTGATTTTTTTAAAATGTCCATTATTCTAAGCTGGCCACTTGGGGTCACTAACGATCTGAGAGAGAAAGACCAGCTGGCTCGGTAAAGTTCTTTAGCTAAGAGATTCTGCAGGTTGTTTATGGACTTTCTTTTTTTAATCTCTGTTTTTACCACCAAAATTTCCCTGAAGCCTTGATTAAGGTATTAGTGTTGAGTGGAGCCCAGGTTTGCACCAGACTGTGGACTACAGAGTCCCCTGCCCACCCTGGAGGAGGAGAGACAGAAAAAAACGAAAGAGAAAGGAAAACAGTCTTCCTCAGGGCAACCACCTCTGTCTTGACTCCACCTCAAGCAGCCTCCAACTCGAGGAGCCCTGGTGGTGTAGTGAATTAAACGTTGGGCTAGTGGAAAGGTCAACAGATTGAATCCACCAACTTCTCCAAAGGAGAAAGCTGGGCAGTCTCCCCGCTCTGGTAAAGATTTACAGCCTCAAAAAACCCCAGTGAGCGTCATGATGAGTTAGAGTCAATTCCACAACAGTGGCTTGCGTTCGGTTTTTCACTTTTCAAGTATTTGCATGTTGTGTTCTTGTTTTCCTCTGACTTCATGAATGGATTCTGCAGAGTTCAATGGCATGAAACAAAACACTCCTTGGTGACAGATAAACCTTTGTCTTGGAGAAGTGGAAACCAGTGAAGAGTGTTGCCCTGGGCAACCATCCCGGTGGACTTTCCTTTCAGGGTGCAGTGGGTGGTGGGGAACTGCAGATTTGGGGAATCATTGCAGCAATCAGCGGAGAGTCAGGTAACAAGAAAGAAAACAAGAAACATCTGAATAGCTCAATGTCGTGGGGATGTATGCAGCCCAGTTCCTGCAGACGGTCTCCATGGAGCCCGCTGAGGAATGCTGTCTGAAGGTCTGAACTCTGAGTGCAAGGAGCCCGCACCCTCCTGCTCTGAGAACCCTATAAACTTCCCTTCCCTCCTGGATCCATATTCCAGCCCAGAGGATTCAGCGTAGCCACGTAAAAGTGTCTTAATGGAGATGGATTTCAAAACCCTGCTGTCCCTTTTCAGATCATAAATTACTGTTAATTCTGTTTGTATTCTGCTCCCCCTACCTTCTTCCTCTCTTAATAGTTTCTGAAACAGTAATTGACGACAAAACCGAGCCCGCAAAGGGTGTGAGCAGGCCAGCTCCACTAGCCGAGCTGCGGGCCAAGGGTTTCCTCATCCTGCACTTTACAGCAACCAGAGTGAAATATTTATGGGCCGCGGGCGCCCTTCCTGGCCTCCTCCAGGAGGTCTTGTCGGTCAGCCCCGAGGGCCCCGGGCAGGAGCTTCCATGCTCCGTGCGCTGGAACCGAAGAGTTCGGCTTGTGTGTGTTGCCTTTCTCTCCGCCTTGTTCCAAAGCCAGGCTCTGCGCAAACAAGCTGTAAGCTGGAGGACTCTGAGAAGCAGCTGACTCAAGCTCCTCTGCACTTTTCTTCCTGCTGCGTTTGCTGTTGGTGGCTGTACAGTCAACTCCCATGTACCCCAGAATGAAATGGGGAAGGAAGACTGTGCACTGTTCCCAAGATGCGTGGTGCGTCCAGGTTCTGGTGGGGACCACTGTGCACCTTGCATGCCTTCTCCCCTCTGTGTAGTTGAGTTAAATGTTGGATTGCTATTGAAAAGGTCCACAGCTGGAACTCACCAGCCTCTTTACAGGAGAAAGACGAGACAGTCTCTTCTCACTGAGGTTGACAGCCTGGGAGATCTGATGTAGGCTCCTTTGAGTTGGAACTGACTTCATCGTGGTGGTGTTTGAGGCACCATTGAGTAAACCAGGACTCGTAGCAACCCTGTGGACAACAGATCTGAACCTTGTGCTATCCTGCACCATCTATCCTGATCTCCAATAAGCTCCAGCCCATTATCCCGGTTACTGTATCAATCTGTCTCATCCAGGACCTTCCTCTCCTGCACTGACCCTCCACCCTTCTGAGCATGATGTCCTTCCCCACGGACTGGTCTCTCCTGGCCAAATGCCCAATAGATCTGACATGAGACAGGCTTGATGACAGTAGGGAGGTTTCTTGGTTTGTTCATTTGTTTGTTTTTCAGCCCAAGGGGCTCATCCTCTGGCATCAGTTGGTTGACATTTAGTTGGTCGACATCTATAGGGTTTTCTTTCATTAGCTAGTTTGGAACTCAATGGATCTTCAGCTGTGAATCACTTCTGACTTGATGGCAAGGAGGAAAAGAGAGGGAGAAAAGAAGAGAGAGTGAAAGAGGGAGAAGAAGGAAAGGGAGAGGGGGATGGAGGGGGCAAGGGATTAGAAAAGGCAGGCAGAGGAGAGAGATGGAGGGAGGGAAAGGGTAAGGGAGAGGAAAAGGGAAAAGGAGGTGGGAGGGGAAGAGAGGGAAAGGAAGGGGGAGAGGGCGACATGGAGGTGAAGAAGGTGATAGGGAGGGGGGAGAAGGAAAGGGAGAGGGAAGAGGTGTGGGAGAGGGAGAGGGAGAGAGGGAGGTGGTGAAGAAGAGGGAGAGAGGAGAAGAAATAGAGAGGAGGTGAGGGAGGGGGTGAAGAGGAGGGAGAGATGGGGAGAGGCAGAGAGGGAGGGGTGATGGAGAGAAAGGGGGTGAGGGAGAGAGAAGGAAAGAGAGAGAGAGGGAGTGAAGGAGATAGAGAGGAAGAGAAGGGGAGAGGGAGGGAGGGAGGGAAAGAGAGAAGGAGGAAGAGAGAAAAAGGGAGTGAGGGAGGGGGTGAGGGAAGGGAGAGGGTTTAGCTCAAGATATTCTGTCTTCTTAATAACTCTGATATCTACGTCATGTGCTATTGAGTCCCCTGTGGCTCATAGTGACCCTATGTACAACAGCTTTGAAACCTGCCCTGTCCTAAGTCAGTCTCACTGACTCTGACACACCAACCCTTATTTTTTCCAGTTACTGTATCAATCCATGTTATCCAGTGTCTTCCTCTCCTGTACCGTCCCTCCACCCTTCAGACCATGATGTCCTTCTCCAACCATCTGTCTATCCTGGCCACATGACCAAAGTATGTGAGACAGAGCTTCAACATCCTAGCTTCCAAGGAGAAACTTTGTTTCACCTTCTCCGAGATAGATGTATTTCTTTTCTTCAAAATCCATGTTATATTTAAGACTCTTCTCAAACACCACAACTCAAAGGCATCAATTCTTCTGCCATTCTTAGTCATTGTCTCTCTGATGTTTAGCAAGTATTTGTGAAGACCATGGCCTGGATCAGGCTGACCTTAGTCTCTAGACAGACATAGTTGCTTCTTAGTACTCTGGAGAGGTCCCTGAGAGCAGATTTACCGAATCCAATTAGTCTTTTGATTTCCTGACTGCTGGTGTCAAGAATGTTGATTGTGGAGCCAATCATGCTGTAACTGTTAACATCCTCAATCTCTTCTCCATCCATCATGGTGCTGCCAGCTGGTCCAGTGGTGAGAATCTCTGTCTTCTTGATGATGAACTTCAATCCATATTGAAGACTACAGTCCTTAACCTTCTGCAGCAAATACTTCACATCCTCCTCAGTTTCAGCAAACAAGGTTGTATCATCTTCATAATGTAGATTGTTGTTAAGTTTTTCTCCTATCTTGATGCCACATTCCTCCTCATAAAGCCCAGCCTCCTGAATGATCTGTTCTGCGTATAGATTGAAAACATATAGAGACATGACACATCCGTGATGCACTCCCTTCCTGATTTTGAACTATGCAGTGTTTCTCTGCTCTGTTCTGAGGACTGCTTCCTGGTCCACAAGTTTCACAAGTGTAGGAAACACAAGCACAATCAAGTGTTTGGGGATTCCCATTCTCCTCAAGGTTAACTGAGCCATAGCTGATCCTGCAGTAAGTTTTCAAATGCAGTTAAGGAGAGAAGAGATTGCCCATTTTTCTCCCATGGAGCAACTGGTGGATTCAAATCATGTGCCTTCATGATTACAGCACAGTTTCTTACCATTAGGCCACCCCTCCACTCATGTCACAAAATTTGTTGTACTCTTTAGCGATACTTTGTTTCTTTCCTTGATTAATAAAATGCTTTGTCAATTAGTCATTTGTACCCTGGAGGACTTACGTCTCATGAAGGCAGGGGACCATAATGATCACTGTACAGAGTACATACTTATTGAATGTCAGCTAAATGAAGACATGAATAAAGTGGATCAATGAATTTATTAAGTGGCCAGCAGGAGTGGCATCCACTTCCTAAACAACATGCCTCTGGAAACTCTATGAACTTTGAGAAATGTCGATAGTTGTAGAGGGGCTTCAGGCCTTTGTCTCATAGGGTCGCTATGAGTTGTGCTCGACTCAAAGGTAATCAACAAAAACAACAACAACAAGCTATGTGTATAACGAAACAAGCAAACAAAGAGAAACAAACCAAAAAATCCAAGAAAGCAAACCAGTACCATTGAGCAAATGTTTTTATTTAAAAATTAATTTTAATGAAAGTTTACAGAGACTTAGAGTTTCCATTGTTGCACTTTTCTCCCTGCCCACCTCCTCCACTCCAATTTACTTTTTTCCTTGAAAAGTAAAAGAGAAACTCTTTCATTGTTATGCAATCCCTCTCCCCAAGTCCACTCCACTGTGCAGTCTTCATTCTGGACTCCTGTCATGACAGTAATACACAATCATATATCCCTTTTAAACTGTTCTCTCCCTCATCTGTTTCAATGCAGTATACATCATTCTTCCTCTGCTTTTCTGTCTTCCCTCAATTCCGAGGTCAGTTCTGTTTTACAACAGTGGCCCTATGCAATATTTGCCCTTTTGTGGCTGAGATATTTCACTCAGCATAATGTCCTCCAGGGTCATCTGTTTTGCATAATATTCAGAATGGGCTTTTACCGTTTTCTTGGTCTGGAAATAAACCAGCAGGCTGTTCTCCTACGGGTACTCCGTAGGCTCAAACTGCTACCTGTTAGGTTTGTAGTTAACGGTAATCTGTCTGCACCATTTATGTCGCTGGCTCTGAGAAAATTCCTTGGTTCTTACCTTCCTAGGACTTATAGACTGACAGTGTGGTGGTGGTTGTGGTGTGATGGTAGAGACCAGGCAAGAGGCGTTAAGAGTGATGAGGTAGAGAAAAGGGGACATGTTTAAAAAACTTGAAAGGAGGCAGTTTGTGTCTTAGGAGAGATCAAGAACGGATTCATGAAGAAAATGCCATTTAAGAAGAGCCTCAACCCTCATCCATTGCTGGAAGAACGTAAAATGACACAGCTATTGTGGAATACAGTTTGTCAGTTCATCTCAATAAAGTTGGATATAGAATTACGTGCTGTCGTCTTGACACGTACCACTGAGTCAGAGATGACTCATAGATGACCTCCATGCAGGTTTTCGGAGGCGGACAATTGCACCGGAGGAGATTGCCCATCTCTCTCCAGTGGAGCAGTTGGTGGCTTTGAACTGCAAAGCCTTTGGGTTGACAGCAGAGCTCCTTTACCACAAGGACATCAAGCTCCCTAGAAATTACATACATCTCAATAATCCCAATTCTCTGACATAATCATAAATAAAAGCAGGAATTCAAATAGACACATGTCTATCAGCATTTATTGCAGCACTTTTTGCAATAGCCAAAATGTGGAAAACAACCAAAATATCTACTAGTTGCGGTACAAACATATGATGGAATAGTACTTGGCCCATAGATGTTTGTCCATTGTTGTTGTTATGTGCCGTTGAGTTGCCTGCAACTCATAGCAACCCTATGTGCAACATCCCTACACCTTGCTCTATTATGTGCAATCTTATGGCCTCTGAAACACCTACCTCAATTAATCCAGTCACTGAATCAATCCATCTCACCAAGGGTCTTCCTCTCTTGCACTGTCCCTCCACCCTCCCAAGCATGATGTCCTCCTCCAAAAACTGGTCCCTCCTTGCAACACATTTAAAGTATGTCAGATGAAGCTTCAGAATCCTTACCTTTAAGGAGCAGCCTGCTCTCACTCTCTCTAGGATGAACCTGTTTGTTCCATTAGCAGTTCATGATATATTCAATACTCTTCTCCAGCAGCACAGCTCAAAGGCATCAATTCTTTTATCATCCCTAGTCATTGTTCAGCTTTCTAACACATAGTAAGTAATTGCAAAGACTATGTTCTGGATCAGGCGTACCTTAGTCTCCAGAATGACATCATTGCTCTTCAGTACTTTGGAGAGGTCTCTGACAGCTGACTCTCCCAATGCAATTCATCTTTTAATTTCCTGGCTGCTGGTGCCAAAAGTTTTAATTGTGGAGCCAAGCAAACTAAAGCTGTGAACAATCTCAATCTCTTCACCATCCATCCTGATGCTGACAATAGGCACAGTGGTGAAAATCTTTGCTTTCTTTCTGTTAAGCTTCAATCCACATTGAAGGCTGTAGACCTTGACTTTCTGCAGCAAGCACTTCAGGTCCT